TACCTCCTGAGGTCCCTTCCAACCCTGAGATTCTATGATTCTCCCCCGCGCTGTGTATGTGCCTGTACCTTTATCTCTCCACCCCAGGAGGTGCGCCTGTACCCTTAACTCTCCCCACAATGTGTGTTTGCCTGTACCCTGAACTCCCCAGTCTGTGTGCACCTGTACCATTACCTGCCCTGGGGGTGCGCACCTACCCTTAACTGCTTCTGGTGTGTGTGTGCCTGTATCCTTAACTTGCCCCCTGGTGTGTTTGCACCTGTACCCTTAACTCGTGCACCTGTACCCTTAACACTCCCCCTGTGTGTTCGCCTGTATCTTTAACTCCTCCCAGTATGCGTGCACCTGTACCCTAAACTCTCTGTCCCCTGTGTATGTGCACTTGTATCCTTAACTCTCCTCCCGGTGTGTCTGTGCCTCTACCATTAACTCTCCCCCGCCCCCCCATCTGCATGTGCCTGTACCCTTACCTCCCCCGGTGGGTGTGCTTGTATCCTTAACTCCACCCGGTGTGTGTGCACCTGTACCCTTAATTCCCCCCTCAATGTGCCTGTACCCTTAACTCTGCCCCCGGTGTCTGTGCGGCTGTACCCTTAACTCTCCCCCTGTGGCATGCTGTAGTTATCGCTCCCCCATATGCCCATTTATCTAATATTATTTTTCATTCCCCCCCACCCAGCCACATGCCCCTCCCCACAAGAGGACACAGGGTGCCGGGGCCCCACTAATAAACACAGGCTACTGCAAAGAGTTTGTGGGGTTATTTATTTAGGGGGTTTGGGGACTGGGGCAGGGGCTCCTCCCCCCCCGTGTCCCTGTTCTCCTCCCCGGGCAGGGGCGCAGATTTTCTTCCTGCTGCAGAGACGGTTCAGAGGCTCCCTCATTTCCGGTGTGACAGCTCCCGGGACAGCTGGCAAAGGCCGCAGGGCCCACAGCAGGCCATGACCAGCCAATCGTCGCAGATACTGCCCTGTGGGGAGAGGGGGCGTTAACGGGGCCCCTCTGGGGCCAGAGTTACCGGTTCGAAAGCCAGACCAGCCTGGAACAGCTGGGCGTCGGCACCACGCCAGCCACCGCCCAGCCTCACACAGGCCTGGTCATGGGCCCGGGCCACGGGGGCGCGAAGGGTGGGGGAAGGACTCCCGCTTTGGGAAACCGGCCGCCCCCCGCGGAACTGACACCGGATCTCGGGTCAGCGAGCGACGGCCGGGCCATGGCAGACGTGCCCAGGCCGGCTGCATCCGGGCAGGAGGTTTTACTCTTCACAGGTCGGGGCCCCTGGCCGAGCGGGGAGGGGGCAGGCGGGGGCGCGAAGCCAGAGCAACGTGGGTGGGGCCCCATGCAGGGTGGGGGTGTTGGCCGGGGCTCCGGGTGGAAACTGCCCCTCCCCCCTTGGGTCCCCCCAGCCTCACCTCGATGTGGTACCGTTCCCGCACCCCCGTGCGCAGGGCCAGCAGGGTGCCAGGTAGGCAGGGCAGGAAACAGGACTCGCCGAAGTCCTGGGACACCTGGCAGGCCAGGATGCAGGGCACAAAGGTACCGCAGAGACCTGCCGGGGGGGGGGGGAGGTGTTACAGACCTGAAACTGGGACCCCCACCCCCAAGCCTCCCCACAACCCCCACTGGGAACCCCACCCCACCCCAGAGCCCCCCCCAACCCCCACAGGAAGCCCCCGAACACCCCCACCCCAGCCCCCCACGGGACCCCCCGACTCACACACGCCCATGTCCGCGAAGCAGTCGCACATGCCCGAGCTCCAGGCGTTGGTGTTGCCGTAGGAGTAGCTAGTCTGCACCCGGCCGGGCTGCGTTATCTCCGCCTGATAGGCCATGGGAGCCTGGGGCACACGGGGGTGTCAGCCTGAGCACGACCCCCCAGAACCCTCCCCAGTCACCTAAGGGTGCAGCCGACCGAGCCCCGCTGCCTGGGCCAGGGGGAGCCCCCCCACTCGGAGCCCCACGCTGGGGGGGAACACGGGGGGGCTGAGGGGACACATTGCCCAGGCCAGGGACATATGGTGGAGCTGGGGACAAGGGGCTGGGTGTGGGGGAGGGGTTCACCCTACTCGGCAGCCCAGCTCCTGAATCAGCTCTGGGCGATTCTCCGGGCCCCAGGGGCCCCCAGGCAGGTCTGGGCAGGGGGGACACGCCCTGCGGTGACGGAGGTGCAGGGGTGTGGGGAGGTCACACCCCGGGCAAACAAACA